TACTGAGCACACAGCATGTACCACACTTGGGTCCTGATCCCTTGGGAGTTGGATACATGCAGCTCCTGCGTGCATGCAGCAAGGAGCTGCTTCAGGCTGCTCTGTGAGTTGAGTTACTTGCACACGTACCTGCAGGGCTGGGTACAACAATGACCTGAAGCCAGCTGGCATCACCAGGAAGGCATTCTCACATCTCACAGGCTGCTGATAGCCAGAAGTTTCACCCAGAGTCTCTCACTAAAGCACCAGGTGGATCTCTACGTGTGCACTTCATTGCTAATGTTTAATTATCTCAAACACAGCAATATCCACACTGCTCTAGAAAGAAATCCATTCTCCCTTTGCTCTGAGCTATGAATGCACGTATTCCATAATCAGCCTGAGAGACCAGCCATAGGGGAGATGTACATCTGGGAAGCACATGAGAGGCCTTCTCACACAAAAATTATTTTGCAAAGCATCTCAGGCCCAGCTTCAGGTGTCTTCCCTTCATTTGCACACTGGAAAACTTGACTGATGCTTTCAGTTTTTAAGATATTAAATAATAACCACCCAGCTACATTACTTGAATGCTTTTCATGCCTAAAATCTCCCGCTACACCTTATACGTCTTATCTGCAGTATTTCTTTGACATCCTAATACTGTTCCTGCCATTAGCCATGGGACTCAGTTCTCCCATCGCTGATGTGAGGTTGCCTCAGGGGTTACACCGGGCACACAAACACCTTCCTGGGACAGAAAGTGAAGTACCCTTAGCTGAAAAATCCCAAGGCATCCAAACCAGCAACTACGAACTGGATTCAGATGTGTTTTCAGTGCTGAAACAGCTCTGAGGCTTTCATGGGGTTACTGAAACCTGTGATTTTCCTCATATCTCCAAAGAGGAGAATTCCCCCTGCAAAGCAGCTCCTCAGCACGGCACTGCCACCACCAGTGACCCCAAGAAGACAGCAGGCACGATCCTACAGAAAACCCACAGCAGCCAGCACTGCTGCAATGCTGCCTGGTGATGGGCTCCAAGATGAGGGTGGTCCACAGCAAACCGAAAAGGCTCAGTGTCTGCACACCTAAGATTTAATTTTCCCTTCTTCACTCCTCTGGCAACAAAACATCGTGGATCTGGCACCCTGGGCGAGGCTTTGCAAAGAGGCATGAATAACATTTCTTGTTTGCCTTCTCCTGACTGCTGTCTTCTGGACTTCAAATGAGCACATCCAACACAACACATTGAGCCATAAAATTCGACTGAGGCTCTTCAGCATTGTAATTATTACATTTCTCCTCTTGAATTTCCAAACCTGTTCATTAGGTCCTATTCCATGCAGCTGTGAGAAAAGACAAATGAAATGGAAGGCCGTAACGATACTAAGATGAAACTGAGCCTCAGAAAAAAGCCAAACCATCCAAACCAGAAACCCTCACCCTATCCCCTCTGCAGTAAAACTGAAGATCTTTGCCAAGACATGAGTTTTGTGCAAACAGACATAAAATTATCACTCTGCACAGCGTGAGTTATACCTGAAGCTCAAAAACACTTTCAGTCAAATGATGGTGGCAACACAAGGATGGAAGAAACACTGAAATCTTAGGGTTTCTCTTTCATATTATAGACCACCCAATATTAACCCATTTTGATTAAAAATGCCACTCTTGGGTGGCAAAATGGGGAAATAAGATTTTGAGCGACTTTTTTCCAGTGATTTGCTGCAAAATACCATGAGGTGGGGTCTAGCCATGGTTAGCATCGGAATCTGTTCCCAGCCAGAGATAAATTAGGCCCTGAGGCACCCTGCTAAATCACAAGGGTGGCTGCTACCATGGCTCGGTTTAGCATTTGTGTTTCTCCCTCTCTCTTTCAGGTTTTCCCAGGAGGTCCAAAAAAGAAGAAAAAACATTTACAGGAGCAGAAGGTCTTTTCTGTGCTGGAGACGTCTTTCTTTTCTTCCCTCCCTCTGTTTTAGGAGGGTGGCGATGCTATGAAAAGACCGGATCTTGTTTTACTTTATTGCCATTAGGGGCAAAGTAAAAAGAGAGAGACCTATAAACACAAAGATGCCAAGATACAAGGAGCCTACATGCTTGAATGCCCAGCCCTGGCTGCTTTGTTCCATGAGTAATAATCGGTATGGTGACAGAGGTCATATGTGTACATTTGCCACAATGGAGAAAGAGGAGGTGCAAAGAGATGCACTTTATGCCAACAGCCCACTTCGTTTCCTGTGGCACAGCATCCCTTTGTACCTTGCACAAAGCACAAACCTTTTTATTCGCATTTCTCCACCGGATGGACACCTTCTGTTCCGCTTTTCCTCTCCAAACCAGTAGGTGCTATTGAAATGCTTCTGAAAGTTTCAGTGCAGAAAATGTTTGGGGCAACAAACCCAAACATTTCCACCTGAGTGCCACAAACGCACGGCCAGTAACAAGATTTAACTCTAAACTTTGAATCCAGGCCAGGGCGGTTGAAGTTTCTCTAAATTCAGTTATCCCAGGCTAATTTTGTGCAGTGGCTCCCAGCACAGCACCTGGAAATCTCATACACTGCAACTCCGGAGATTTTGCATTCCTCTGAAGCTTGACCTTCCCAGCTGGCCCCGCTGCCCTGACCCACAGCAGTAACCCCTGGCCAGGTACCTCTGGGTTAACTGTTGTGAAGCACGAGCTCTGAATGTCCAAGGAAGGCAGTAACTTTGCTTTATGTGAAGTTCATGTTCTGATATCGCTCCTTAAATTTGCCCCTCTCTGCTGAAGAGCACAATGAGCTCAAATCCCAACACCAAATGTTGGGCTGAATTGCAGTTTCAGTGAGATAGCCCAGGAAATCATTCAATACCATCACATTCCAGATCCAGGGTTCGCTCCTTTCTGTCCCCAATTTCAGAGGATTTGGTGGCTGGGGATATAAAACCCAAGCAAGGTAGGAGGAAGGGATGTGTAAAACACTACGTGCTCTATCCCAGTCCTTGCAAACATCCCCACAGCACGGTACCAAAGTTTTCCATCCAAGTTTTCCACATCCCACTGCAGAGCACGATGCTCAGCCTTTCTATGGGGGACCCTGGAAGCAATAAGCTTGCCCTATAGAAATCCCAGACTATTGATGAACTGCATGGGGCAGGGGGGAAAGCCTGCAGCTACACAGTCAGGTCATGAGAGCAAAAACCACTTATTTCAATAGAATAATGAGAGCGGCCAGGTGCTTAATCTCAGTATTTGTAGAGAGTTTCGACTTACTTGCTTACACATCATTTACGTTTCACATTACTGTCCATAAAAATAAAAAATAAAAATAAAATAAAAAGAACAGGAAAGAACATGATAAAGTACAAAGTAAAAAGTTTAAATAAAAATAAAGCCACCACTAGCACTGTAGTCCAAAATGAGTTTTCAACACAAAAACAAAGGCTTTGTCCTTCCACATTCCACAATACAAATCTCAAAACATTTAAGCAACGATGCTCAGACCCAAAACACTTCCAGGCCATCAAGGTGAGACTTTTGACTCAGGCTCATAAACTAGGACATGGCTGAAAAAGGTTTAGAAACCTAGCAAAATTTTAATATCCATTCCAGCCTGTGTGACCAAAGGGATTATCCCGGAATGGCTCACCTGATTAGTTATACAAATGCCTTTCTTTTTTTTTTTTTTTTCCTTTTAATCCAAGACCGTGCAGAATGCCAAATGGGAGAATGGAGCGGGCTGTGTACTGGAATGTCTGAAGGCTGCAGACTTGGGATTTATATTCCATGTTGAATTCATTGTTCTCTCTCCTACCCCCGCTGCCCTCTAAAAAATGCTGCAGCCATGACAGAAATAAATTAGCCCGAGGTACAGGTCACACCTTCAAGGGCAGTAAGCGTTCTGGGTAAAATCAATAGAGAAGATGGGAGTCTCTAGCAGCTGAAGCAGAAAGAATGACACATTGATAGCTTTACATATACCCAAACAAAGGCACTTTGGAACAACCCCGGTCCCTGCTGCCTTGCGAGCACAAAGCTCGGGTTTTTTCAACCACCTGAACCCCAACAGCAAGACAGAGGCGATTGAGAAAGGCGCCCGTTTCTTTGGGGAATTTGCATATTGATGCAGAAAAATCTGCTTGTTTGCATCCCTGCCCAGGAAAGGGCTCCAGATGCTGAATTCTGGGCCAGGTTGCAGCTCCCACAAACTTTCACAGAGACCAGAATCCGCACACAACCTTGGCTGGAGTTTTGTGGCCCTGTGAAGCCTCTCAAGGGGCAGGAGCTGAAGCCTCAGACAAAAACTCCCAGGAACTTTGGTGAACACAGAAATGAGCCCGGGAACCATCACCACCAGACTCTAACACTACGTGTTGCATTCATTATTTTCACTCCTGATTTTAAAGCAAGGAATAATTTATTCCAAATCACCTACAGTCTTTCAGAACCTTAAACCCGAGCTTCAGTACTTACAAATCACAGTTTGTCTAAAACTGGGTGATTTAAGTTTCACAAGGACGTGGAACATAGTAAAAACCATTAGACTTCTGCATGGATATTCCTGACACCTCCATGGTGAGTTGAGTATTAACCCTCAGAGCACGACACGAAACCTTTTCAGACACTTCATACCTCCCCCGGGGTTCCAACCTGCATTTTCAGGTTCCTAAAAGCTTTAAAGCCCGATCTAAGCTCCCACAATATTTCTAAAAATAGGACACAGACTCCTCGGTCCCTCGGAAGTTTCTGAAATTGCTGCCCAGGAGATTTCTCAACAGGCAGAGCTAAAAGCTCTTCTCCTCGTGTCCCCCCGAGACAACTCCAGCCCAAGTACAGCGGGATCTAAAACCAAACGAACCCTGATTTTATGCAACGCCAGCAAGGGAATGCCAAATACGTAACTTTCCCCTTGCCTCCTTGTTTGTTTGCTTTTCCTAAACCCACATAACATTAACATGTGCATTGTTCTTTGATCATTAGACTCCCGCTTCTGCCTGTGTTGAAATCCCGTGCAGTGTTGAGCTGTATTTGTACTTACATTTACGGAGCCTGTGAACAACATTGTAAATGGAATTGTTTTCATTCCCAATGCTGCCTGTGAAAATAAATGGGAGGATTCACCATTAACACCAGCGCTGCATTAAACAATTACCTTTTGCATACAGTCACTGCCCTGTCTTATATCTCAAACACGTAGCAATACCTACAAATATCTCTATTCAGGGAAAAATAAAACTAAAATCAACCTCCTGAGGAGAAGCGTTCCTCAGACATCACCTGTGTTTTGCTGCTGCTCTGAAGGCCTTTGTATATTTGGATGGCTCCTTGAAGCCACCAGTGCAGAGAGAGAAGAAAGAGATTGCTTCACTTTAGTCCCCAGAGAGGAGAAGGCAGCTTTGAGTCTGTAAAATCAGGTCCTGGGGGCTCAGCTGGCTCCACAGGAGCTGAAGCTCCGCAAGGGGCCGGGACTGGCTTGGGAAGAGGCTTCAGCAAGAGGTGACTGATGGAGCAGGGTGGAGCTGTGAAAACCCTGCTGGTGAAGATGTTAAAAGCCTTTTAGAGAAGTCACAGCAGCGCTCGTTGGGAAGTGTTACTTGGAGGCACGCAGCCTCCACCAGAAGTCGGAGGTGAGGGAATCGCTCTTTCCATGAACTTGCAAGGATGCTTTTAGCTGGGCCGCGGGCTTCCAGCTCCTCCTGGCTCACCCCCTGCAGCTACTTTCAGAGAAAGTGGGGAAAGAAAGTGGGGCACATTCAAGATCTTCCCAAGAATGACCAATCTCACCTGCCTCCAAACAAATATCAGACAGAACGGTCTACGATTACTTGCCTTGCTGTTCCGTTGTGTTTTACATCTCCTCAAGGACAGGAGCATGGGGCAATAATCCCCATTACTGCCTGAGATACTCTAAAACACTGCCTGAGGTACCAGCTTTTGCTCCGTGCTTCCATGTTAGACATTAAAATAACTAAATAAAGCATTTGTACACAGTGAAATGCAGCACAAACCATGTGCTTCTTCAACAGAGATGCCATGTCACCTAGCGCAGCTTTCTCTAAAATAAATCCTCCCCTATTTGTTCTATATTTCCATGTGTTTAGCAATATGGGAAGTCCTGCCCAGCTTTAGAGAGCATTCCCAACAGAGGCTGACTCGCTTCTCTGAGTGACTTCGCCAGGGTGTTTGGGATGGGTCCTGACATCCTGATACTCAAAACACTCAGAGCAATCGCCGTCTCCAAAAGAGGATGTCTCTGTGACAGCACTCAAACAAGGAGGCTGCCACAAATAACTGCTCCAGAAAGCTAAGGCTGTTGGGTTTCTGCTCTGCGCATCCCAGGACTGAAACAGACTCGCAGCAAAGGCAGCAGGACACATCCCATTCCTGCACCGCCAGCTTTCTCTATTCACATTTCCCCTCTGCCTGTCGATGATGGCTGGTTTCAGAAGATATGCCTTCATTTCAAAGAGCAAGATCGCAGATGGAAATCAGAGGAGATCCATGCTATAAGTTTTTTTTTCCCCATTTAAATCATTAACGAGTAAGGATTCAGCACAAAGATGGAAAAAAAAAAATAAGGATAAAAGAACAGTTGTGGATTTGTCTTGGGAATACCTGAAAAGATGGAGGATGGAAGGAGAGATGGGTGAGAGGCTAAACAATTTGTTGGCCAAAATCTGGCTGCTACTCCTGCAGCAGACCTTACTGCACGTCACAGGCAGGGTTCTGGAGATCTGGGCTCCCCATCCAGAGAGATGCTGCACACTTGTAACTTCTGCAAGTCTACAGTCTGCAAAATCTTAACCCTAGGAGGGGAAAAGAAATAATCCAAAAACATTTCCTGTCCATTATATTTTGCATGTGAAGTGTATTCCTACAAAACTGCTGGATTTGGACACCTGAGAGCGAACAATAGAATGGGGCAGGCCATGTGCCACGTGCTGGATGAGGACGGTATTTTGCCTTTCCACTGTCACTAAAAGGATCCAAATTAAACCTGTAGGCCTGAAAGGTCCAAAAGTTGGGGCCTGAAACCCAAATCTGGATGTGCATTTCTGAAGCCTGGGCTTATCGCTTCCCTGCAACACAAGGCATTTTTTCTTCAAAAAAAACTATGCAGAGAAGCTTCCAAGAAAGCCTCCCGGTTGCCCTCCCCATTTCACAGCTAAGGAAATGGAGGGACTGCACGCACGGAGGGGAGGGAGGGAGGGAGGGAGGGAGGGAGCCTGCTGCGGCCACACCGCGCCTGTGGCCATCTGCAGCACACCCCTCGCTGCCTCCGTAATCCCCTGCAGGTTGCTAAATCAAAGAGGAGAAATAACGCAAATAAATTTTCCCAGCCTTCTCACATCAAAAAAAAAAAAAAAAAAAAAAAAAAAAAAAAAAAAAACCTTCCTAGGATCTCAGGGGATAAGGGAAAGGAAAGATCAGAGAGCTTCAGCTTTGGTCATTTGCAGATTTCTTCTGCTTGGCCTGGCTGCTCCCCGTCCCTCCGCGTGCACGCAGCAGGTAATCCTGGTGGGAACCAGCTGAAAGACCCCGTGTCACCCACTCGTTCTTACTTTTGCTCTCCCCTCACCCTTTGCAAAGATGAGATGCTGTTTTTTTTTTTTTCTGCAGAGTTTCCAGCTGTGAGTGGTGAGCAGCAGCACAACCTATTATTGCACTTGGCTAATGCATTATGCGCTCCCAACCCAGTAACTAGGAGCACGCATCGTGACTAACCTGTTATCCTTTTCCTGAAATCCTTTGCATAGGGAATCAGTTTCCAGCTTAAAATACCCAAGTAGTAAACATACAGCTTGTAAACAGAGGGATTTCACATTTGCATGTATAGTTAGTTCTTCAATTATCTCCAGTTGTGAAAATTCAGAGGATTTGCCTACAGACGCTGCACGCACTTCTCACACTTGGAAAATTAAATGCTAATTTTGATAAGCGACATAACCTTCCTGAAGAGCACTGCAGGACATAATTTAACAACAGCAACTACCAAATGTTTCTGACTTGCTTCAAACAATCATTAACCACAGACAATTTCTAATTATTTGAGTCCATTTTGCTTCTTATTCAGTGGTCATTTTGTTTCTTGACCACTTGGCCTATGTTCAGAAAAATCTCCATTAGGGAGCACAAAGTCTCAAAAGAAAAATTACTCTTTCCTCTTTCTAAGGCTGGGATTGTTTCAAACCCTCAAGAGATAGGAGTTCTAAATACATCTTTAAAGCTAAAAAAGTAGAAAGCCCTTAAAAAAATTAAGAGCACAATAGCCTGTTACATTGAAACATGCTGTTATCAAATAAAATAGCTTTCTCGCACCCTTCTGCTAGCAGTTTTGCAATTCATTTTCCAGAAAAAAAAAACTGCAAACATATTAAAAGACAAAACATCTACGCTCAGACTGGAAATGATCACATGAACAAGCCACAAGATTTGCTTGATAACATTCAGAGTTTATTATTCAAGACTGAGTCTCATTTTCAGCTCTAAGGGAGAGGGCGGGGAGAGAAGGGGGAACAGGCTTTTAAAGCACACTCTTGAAGTAAAGGATTGCATTTGCAGGAACCACTAAAAAGAAGAAAGAAAAGAAAGGAAAAAGTAAAGAAAGCACACCTCTATGCTACCAGCAGCCCAGGCTTTCAAAAACGAGGCTTAGCTCCCCAAAATCTACTCACTGCGTTTCCACTAGAGCCAGGTTTACCTTAGCAGAGAGGCTGAGCCCTCTGAGAGCTGCTAAAAACTTTCTGAAAGTTCAGCTCTGCTGCAGATGGGGAGGGACACGGGAGAGCAGAGAGGAAAGCACTAGCCCCGAGCCCCAAGCTGCTGGCACAGCTGCTTTCCCTGCGCCCCCCTTACTGACCTACGAAGTCTTCGTTTCACAGGTAGCAAAGTTTGTCCTCCTCCTCCTGCCAGAGTCACGCGGGCATGCTGCACGGCTGCGAGCGCCCTGCTCTGCAGAAGAATATTGTTTCCAGCCTTCTCGTGACTAAGGAGAGAAAGAAAAATGCAGTCCGGCCAGGTACTGTTTCTTCGTGAAAAGTAAATCCGGCATTCTGGAATGAGTTCAAACATAGGGCTTGACAGGCAAAGGAGAAAAGCTTTTTTTCACTGAGCATGCTTAGTCCTGCACAGCCTGCACACTTAATGAACATTACTTCCTTCCCAGTGGTTACTCCTAGCAGAAATCCACACCCCCTCCTCTTTCAGAAGTCAGGAATGCAGCTGAAACCAAAGTCCAGAAAACATGCCCGACACCCAGACAAGGCCCCACAGATCAATAAACTCAGGTTGTGACCTGCAGGTCACTTTGTCAAACAGGACATCAGGCTGAGTTTTTTCTGCACTTGGTATAGTTTGCTTTATGCTTCGGCTAATGCTGCTCGCTCCCCAGAGAAAATAAAACGGCCCCGGCTTTTAAAGAATGATTAAATGCTTCGATAACAGATGGGAATTCTCCTTCAAACCCTCTCGTCCCAAACCTGCTTTAAAACAAGGAAAGAACGCCGCATAATGAAGTTGATCAGGAAAAAAAAATTAGGTCGTCAGATTCCTGAACAAAAGTTATCTGAATTTGTCCTAGGTGAAGACTAGCTGGTAACAAACAGGCAAACAAAGCCCTTTCGTTTGGTTAGGGCCTGATCCTGTCCTGTCTGCAATCCCGGGGAGCTTTGTCCTTCCCTCCAGCGGGAATCGTGCTGGAGATTGGGATCACAAACGCATGGGTTATTTTTAAAGCTTTTCCTTATGTTTCAAGCTTTGCAGTTGCTTTCCAATATTCTCTACAGGTCACACTTCGCTCTCCCCGGTTCTCATCCCCAACAGGATGGGGAATTCGGCCTTTTGTAACGAAGCCTGTGCTGGCCCCCAGTGCCGTGTCCCAGCCTCTGTGAAAACACCGAGCATCCGATGAGCTATAACGAAAGAACAGAGGCCATAATGTGGTGGGAGCAAGGAGCACTAACCAGAATTAAAGCCTGGTGGGTTGTTACCATCCCCAAGACCCCTAAAGTGATGAATACCGCTCTGCATCTTAAACTGGGTTGGAAAAAAAAAATCAGGACCTCTGTGTCTGAGCAACCCCAGCCTTCATGAGGCTGCAGGCTCTGATTCGAGCAGGACAGGCCATGGCAGGGCCTTAAACCCCTGGGCTCCACACGTCCCAGGCCTTTAAAGCAGACCCAATGTAGAAAGCAAATGTTTCTGTACTCGCACGGGTAAGTTTCAGGATCACCGGGAGGTCTCTGTTGCTCCTAAGGGCAATCCAAAAAATTTTAAGAAGTTTAACTGCCTACACATCCCTGCTCTTCCTGGTTTCGTTCAGGATCATAAAAGAAAAAGCCCCAAAACTGCGTGACAAAAACAAGCCATGGTTGCCTAATTTGAGATTTTGGAAATCCCCAGAGAGCGCTTCCTGCAGATTTGGAGAAGCAGCAACTTCAGGCTAACCAAACCCCAGCGTGCCAACCTAAAGACTTTTCCTTTTGGCACACTTCCAATTCATATCCTGAAGCTTTCCTGGAGCCTGGGAAGTCCCTAACAGGACAAAAAATGCTGGAAACTCAGCTGGATTTTTATCCCTGGCCATCTCAGACACCTCCCGTGGCTGTGGAGGCCAGCTGCCCACGAGAACTCGGCCTGCCAGGGCTTCATTAACCACGAGACCTCAGAAGCAGGCAGACACAGTGCCACTTATGACTAAAAAAAATTACTCAAACTCAGAATTGATGAACCCAGGGCTCAAACACACGCTCACTTAGCAAGCCGTGGTGAGTTTAGACATCCTTGTCTCCCTCAGTAGCTCATTACCACTCTTGCGGCCCAGCAGGATAAGCAGAGCACCTGAAGGCCGTGATGTGGCGTCCAGGAGCTTCCCCCAAATTCCCACCAGGAGCAGGAGCCAGATGCCATGCGTTATCCCTACAGAGCTCGGCCAGCCCCATAATGATTGTGGTGGAGCTGCCGAGCACCTCGAGGCTGCTGCGTGGTGCTCAGGAGCCATTTCCCTTGCCGCCTGTGAGCCACAACAGCCCCGCTGATCCCCTTCATGCCCAATTACCCACAGCAGTTGGCACGACGATTTGTTTCGCACAGCCTTGGCCTCGCTTGCAGACGAGCCCCGTGTCCAAACGGGAAGCTCTCTACCTCCAGTTTTCCTTCTCAAAGGAAAAATCATTCGGGGGCACTCAAGTCCCCAAAATTCCGGCCTGCTGGGAACTGTTTGCAGACCACATGGAGCACGGCATGCAAGTGGTACGAGGCCTGGACCTCCAAAAAGCTCCATATCGTGTCCTGCCATGGGATTACTGGGTTCTTTGAGGAAAATCAGGCCCAGCCCTACCTGCCTCTGAGCTGGGGCTTCAGGGTGCCATACCAGAAAGCAGTCCGAAGTGAATTTCAGGGGGCACGAGGCTCTTAAACACACTTCTGGATGCAATTAGGGCCTTTAAAGAGCAAAGAGTTGGACAGGATTGCAAAAGAGCAGAAAAGGGAGACTTGTGCTATACCAAGAAGCTATTGGGTCTCCAAATGGACCATCGGCAGCTGGAGGACAGCCTCCTGCAGGTATCCATGATTCAGGACAAGGACCAGGGAAAGCCTGGATAAACGAAAAGCCTACAGGGAAGTGCACAAGCTTTAGACAGAGGAACTCCTTGGGTTTGGGGCTGCTGCCTCTGTATTCAGTCTAACCATTAAGCTGTGCCCCAAGGCGCAGACCTGAAACAGACTTTGGCGTGGCATCAGTCCCTCCTGGGGTGAAGAACAGAGCCCACCAACGCACATTCACCAAGATCCAGTAGGGAACTGTTGCTGCCAGTCCTAATGAGAGCCAAATGGCTGCCCCTCCCCGAGCTAACAGCTCCAGCTGGGGCAGCTTTGCTTCTCTTTTCCCCCTAGGATGCATAAACTGCGTTTTTGCTCTCCTTCCTGACACCAGAAAAGGCTGGATCGCTTCCCACTGTACTGTGAGAGCTTGAAACTTGGCCATGCTATTTACAGCATCTTCTTTGCCCGGAGGAATTGGAGCCGCAGCGTGATTTTTCCACCATATGCAGGCAGCAGGCACGGCTGCATGTGCCAGCACCGCTACCCGGCGAGCTGAGCCCTACCTGTCGGTGCTTCCCCGTGGCTGCTCCAAGTCCTACAGCGAGAGATTTCCCCAAGGCCACGGGCTGCTGGCGCTCAGCTCCATTGTTCTTGGTGCTCCAATGCATCCCTCCTTCAATTGTTAGCGGGAAAGGACAAATTAAAGAAAGACCCTGAAGGGTGGGGCTCCTTTTCTGGTCTTCTCAGCAGAAATCTTAAGCTTTTGGCTGCGCAGAGGTTTTTCAAAAGGAGTGAAGTGACTCAGAAGCCTGAAATCTATTGATTCTCAGCGGGAATGGGGCTCCCAGATTCCTGCTGGAGCTGCAGAAGAGCTCGTTCTGCCTGGGAGCGTTTGGAGAAAGAGCCAGTCCTTCCCACCTCTCCTTTAACCACCCCTAGAGGGGCTGTGGGGTTCCTGGGGGCCCTCTGGCTGGTGAGGTACAACTCGGGGTGAGTTTTAGGATGCCAGCAGTGGGGCTGGCATCAAGGAGCACAGCCAGGCTGGAAACCTCCCAGACGACAAACCACAGAGACCTCGTTGGCAGAGCAAGCAGATGTGGGTTCCCGAAGATGTTTTTTTTTTTTTCCTTTGCTTCCCATTTGACGCTCATTCCTACCTTGCACAGAGGAAAATGTGACCCAGGAGACCTCGTTCCTACAGAGGCTCAGCCTGCAGACAGGCAGCCCACCCCAGTAGAAGGGCTTTGCCTTGCTTTAGGCAACGGTGTGTAGGCAAACGTCCCCAGGAGAGGTGCCCCCAGGAGATCCCAGCACTGGGATGGGGGAAAGGATGCCGTAGGATGAAGCTTTTGAGCCAGTGCCAGCAAAGCAGGCTGTCTCCAAGCAAGGAAGATACAAAAGGAAGATACAAGGTTGAATTTTTGCCCCTTTCTCCCCTCTCAGGGCTGGCACAGTAACATTCAGCATCCACATTACAGAAGGGTTTTTGGTGGAGGTGCAGTGAAAGCACCGAACGTCAAGTCTGAACAAAACGCTGACCTGCTTTCGGGTTTTTAGTGCTGATGAAGTATTAGAACAGTAAGACCAGATGTCTTTCTGAAGTTATGCTTGGGTTTAACCAAAGTACCTGGGCTCAAAGGCAGGAAACTGAGAGAAACCCACAACTGTACACGAAGATATGAGCAAACTGTCTAAAAATTATCTTTCAACTCTAGGATCTATTATGATAGAGGAGCTGTTGCCTTCATCTATTGATAAAATATTAAATAGGAGTAGCTGGCATGTTTTCCAGAAATCAGCAGGTAATCTAAACATATTAAACCAGGAGAAGGTTTCACTTTGAAGGCAGTGCAGAGAAGTTGCCTGCTAGGACAGGGCTATGGGGAGAGCAGCAGTTCCCAAGCCTGGGCTGGTTTTCCACCTAACTTTGGGTGAGACCCTTCACACCTCTGATCAAAAGTAGTCAAAGGAAGTGGGTGTAATTATTACAAAGATTGCTATGATAAATCTGAGACAGCACTGGAAAAAGGCAATAGATAATGCAGGAAAGATGCAACCACAGCTGCAAAACTCCCAAGGATTCAAACTCAACATTACATTAAGATGTAAAGCAAAAGAAAAAGAAGAAAAAAAAAGAGCAAAGCAAGCAGGCTCTCACACCACTCAGAAATGTTTTGAGGTGAGTGTCCCACACCAGGGCGAGGGCAGTGACACCTCCAGAAGCACATCCCTGCAGAGCAGGGCACAAGATGCCAGGAGCCACCCCGCTGGACCTATTCAGTTATTCGAGCTTTTCAGAGTCTTCCTGCAGGATAACAAATAATGAGCACTTCCTAGGACAACCTCAGGTTTTCTGTTCCAGGCAAATAAATTTGATCAAGGGAGGAGAAAAGACAAACTGCACTAGCAACAGCATTGAGCTCAGGGAACTTCATTTTTCACAGTTCAAATGAAACCCAAGGAGAGTTGTTACAAGGCTAAATGTTGTGTGTGCACAGGTACATATGATAAATACTTGCAGAAAGATGCTGCTGCAGTGCGATGCTTCTGAAGGGGCTGTGCTATGTCTTTACTGAAAACATCCAAACTGCAATAAGACATGATACTTTAAAAGGGAAAAAAGGAAAAAAGGAAAAAAATCCTGTCTACCTTAATCAAGATTTGGTAGTATTTTCTGATATAAAGGGAAAACGTTTAGAGTTTTGCTTCTGATCAAGTATAACTAAAGCCATTATCTCACACAGAATCAGTGGGATGGTTTTGCCAGCATAGGAGGACTTGCCATTTATCAACCTCTTTGGGATTAATGACTTTGCTGGTTCCTAATCCCAGCAGAGCCAGCAGTCTGGTAAAGGTGCCAGTGGAGCAGGGCACAGTGCAGTGAGTATCAGCACCCAAACACGAGACAGTTAAGAGCAGATACCCACCAGCACTGCAAGGGACAGGTGAAAAGGCAGGAGGATGCTTTCAGATATCACGGTGGCACGGGAATGAGATTGGACCCTGGAATCTAATGGTAGCTCCCCCATCGGGTGGTGTTTTTTTGTTGTTGGTGGTGGTTTTTTGTTTTGGTTTGTTTTTTTACTCTTTTCCTTGATCTTACATCCAAGGATGGAAGATTTCTTTGAAGGCCAACTACATTCCAACGTAAAGCAAACATCCTAAATCTGTGGCTTGCCAGAACCAGAACCTCAGCCCACCAGTTCCTGTGTGCAGACCTCCAGACTCAGCTCTTCCCAGGCACTTTCCAGGAGCGAGCAGCAAAATCAAGTTCCATATTTCGTCCGTCAACATCTCAGAGGAAAATGACAACTGTCTATATACACAACAACAGAGCAGAGACATTAAAAACAAGGCAATAACACACCAGCTCCCCAGTCACCTCCCTCAGCTAAAAGCCAGCACGGTCTGCCTTAAATTTCAGCTCCAAGTGCGTTTCACAGGATACGCATCATCCCCACGAAACAAATGGATCCATTTCATTTTTTTTTTTCCACTTAACAGTCACTGGTGAGTTCAACTTTGGCACTCCAACAAAAAAAGGCTTCATTGCCAGCACGCACAGTGCACTGGAACCAGAGCGGGGTGAGAGGAGTGGAAAGTCATTTATAAAGCAAATTCTGCAGCAGAGAGAGTTATTGGGCTTTACCTCTGGATTATATGTTACATTTCTTTATATAACATTGTGTTTAACTCATAACAGTCTGTGGGGGAGAGAGGGAGAAAGGTAAAAGTTTAATTTTCTTCATTTTTGTTGAGATTTATAACAAAAGGACTATATGAATATTTAATTTTTTTAATTAGAATTTTCTGAATTTTCCATGGATCTAGGATTTTACCAGCTTGCTCCTGAGGCTCATCGCCTTGCTGAGGGTTTCCCCAGCACTTTGCAAAGACATGGAACAACGTGAAAATCAGCAACTGCCCCCAAGAAGCATCCGTGATTGTAGGGGGGTCCCTGGGAGTAGCAGCCACACAGCATCACCAGGAGCCAGGCGGTCTCAGACGGACCAAAAAAAGAAGTCTGAGACTGACTATTTCAAGTGTGACCACCATGATTTGGGGAACCTTGATATAATGTAACAGTATTTTACTTTACGAGATGGAGAAAGGACAGCATGATTCTTTATCATCCAATCTGAAATTAGAACTGATAGTATGAAAAGTTTCGATTTTGGTTATCCTGACACTTTACTGTCAAAAAGCCTTTATTCAGAAATTCCCGAACAGCCTGAGCTTGCACCACGACATTTCTAACTTTCTTCTGAAAGCATCTGTTGTCTTTGTCTTCTTTTCCCCCAAATACACATTCTCTTCCTTTCAGACCACTGCCCAACAGCTCATTTAATCCAAGAACTTTCCTTTCTTCTTAAAACCTCATCCTTTCTTGGGCAGTTGGCAAATTGTCGTGGCTTATCCTGGTTAAGTAGTTTGCAGAGTCAAACTGAGTGCCACAGTGTGTTTGTCTTACATCCCATGAATTTACAAGTACCCTGTCCTGTGAGTGCTGCTGGCTATTTACGTGGCTCTCGGTGTTTTTAACGCACACAACACCACCGTGCAGAATACTTCTCCTTTTTGATCAGCTCTTTTACTGATTTAGTAGGATTTAAAGTGCCTGGGTGCATTCACGTATCCCCGTATCGCTGCAGACCTTGAAGTAACTACCTCGGAAACTGCCAGGGAGCTGAAAGCCTTTCATTTGTTGCAGAGGTAAATGCAATAAATACATACACATCTCAGCAAAGCTTTCATGCAAACGGAATTTTGTCTTGTGTTTACTTGGAAAGCACTTTAAAACGTACTCCTGCCATAAATACATAATTGTAAAAAAGTCAGCGGGACTGCAAGACTTGGTATTGAGTGCTACACCTAGTGGTAAGTGTTTGCAGGATTTGTGGCTTTTCTGACGTTTAAACAAATAATTACACAAAAACAACGTTTAGAGAAACAAGTCATAATACCAGGAGAAGGAAAGGAAAAAACACTCCAGAATGCTTCAGATACTTAAGCAGGGGGTCTATTCTTCCATCAGCATGCGAGAAATTTATGCAATTAAATTATAATCATTAATGAACCTCACCTACGAGCACAGCCATACATCAGAAGAAAAAGCAGAGCTCCTCCAGCTGCAGCTTTGCTGTAATGAGGCAGGAGCAATACCTGGTGCTCAGCTCCCCTGCTCTACACTATGAGGAGATGCTACGGCATCTTTCTTGTTTACCTGTCTGCTGACCCTTCAAAATGCTTAAAATACCTCGGGGGTAGCAGCCATGCGAAAGAAAGAACAGCCTGCAAAGTACACAGCACTCCACACCTGTGTTTGAAGGCAGATTGCTATCAGGAACTTCAGAAATCCACACTTGTACGTTTTAAATGCAGTGCCTACAACTCAAGGTATCGCATATATGGGTTGGAAAATGCAGTAGGTGTAGTTCAACGATCTCGTCTCTACTTTCCCTTAATGGCCATGGGACAAAACCAAGGCAAGGTGCTGGCAGCAGGGACCGGCACCTGCATCCCGCTCCCTGGGGAGCACCACGGCACTCGGCTCAGGAGTCCCGGTCCCATTTTAAGGTCACCAACTCGCTGGGTTAGTGACCTAAAAAATCCCTCAAGCAGGCAGGCAGAGCACAGTCAACCCAAACCAAAAGCTCTCGTTGAAAATAACTTCTGGGGAAAATAAATAAATAAAAATCAGGAGAAAACTTTGCCTTTCTTCTGTATTAGCAGCTTATTTTCTTTCTATTTGAAACTTCCAGGGGAAAATTATTTCCTCATCAAGGAGCCTTCTTCAGTCTGAACACCCCTGCCTGGTGTCACAAGCCCACACCGCATCATGTGCGGCAGGAGGCACAGTCAGGAGAGGACACACGGGTAGGAAAGAGGCAGAGGGGTCTGAAGCTTCCTCTCTCCTTTCCCTGCTGAAAGCAGCTGGAGGACCTGGTGAGACAGACCCAGCCCTGCTGCATGGTTAGTGCTGCTCACTTGCCAGTTGGAAGGAGACCCAAGTTTCAGGGGTCAAAACTCTTAAGTAACACTCCAGTTTCCAGCTCGCCTCTCCCGAGACGCAGCAACGCCATCCAGCTCGCTGCGGACATCGTTTCCTTTTTATGTTCCTCGATTTTCAAATTACTAAGGAATACAAATGCCTTTACCAGCCACTTCCATGTGCTCAGTGTACTCCACAGTTTCTGAAAGGATTTCCTAATAAGCCCAGCTTACCTAAAAATCCCTTTTTGTTGGTGGTGTGAGCGTGCCGAAGCTAAGCCACCGGTCACAGAGGAACCAACGGGGTTTGGTGTCGGGCACGACACAAGCCTGCAAGTCTCAGAGCATCAAGGGAGCTCCTGTCTGAATCAGAAGAGAAGCAAGCAGCAAGTTTTCTGTGAGATGTTATGGTTTGGGTAGATGTGAGGATCGTTTTGGAGCACACTGGGCTCTTGCTGTCAGCTTGCTGGGACACCGTGCCCCTTCCCCTGTCTGGTCCTAGAGGACAGCCACTTTTATGAAGCACGCTGTACAAGGAGTGACTGCCCCACAGGTAGCTCACGGAATACAAAAGCATCTCTACACCACACCATAAAGCTTCTGGCACACCATACGCTGCTTTATTCCCATTACCCAGCGCCTGTTACTCCGCTGTGAGAGGGGCTCCAAATACAGATTGGACGTTTTTGGAGCAGAGACTCCTCGTGATGTTCTCTCTACTTTCTGCTTACCGTTCCTCCCCCTTGTCTGGCTTCAAGTGCTCAGAGGAACCTGAGGCAATGGACGAGGTGAGCCTTGGAGACTTGGGTGCCTTCACGTGGCCTTCAGAGAAACCCCAAGGCTCTGCCCTCTGCAGCACAGGGCTGCTGGCACAGGCTGCCCACACAGGCGTTTTCCTGCTGTGTCCTTCGTGCACCACTGAAAGCCTTTGAACCTGAAACACTCGGCAGAGCCACTGCCACTTGAGTTACAGGCACAGCTCCAAGGGCTGCTAACCCATAATATGCCATTATTCCTTAACCTGACCGGCCATCAAAGGCAAACACACTTCACTTTTGCACCACAACATTTTTTTCTTATTGACAAAGAGAGCAGAGATTTAACCCAACTTGCTCTCACATTCACGTATCCTTTAAAAATTAGAGGAAGGTTTTAGTGCCAATACTGCCCTGACAGATCTCAGCCTAACTTCCAGACAGTCTAGGTACGAAAGAAACCAGAAATCTTTTATGATACTACCACCGGAGACGTTTAGCCAGCTGACACTTTAACATGCTTAGGAATATACAATCATCACTTCAGGTAGTCGTGCTTTTCAGGCAATAAACCATGATTTGCCTTGTCCTTCACCTGCATCAGGAATTTAATCCACTTCACTCGATTTAGTGACTGTCCTCTAAAAAGAGGAGCTGGAAACCCAGGTAATTAATTAAGAACAGAGCGTGAATTTGTACTGGAGAGGGAGAGCGCCCCAAGTAGTTGTATGGGATTATTCCAAATTTAAAGTTTCTAAACTGCCTGCACTACAATGCTGGGAAAAAGCAACTGGGTTATAAAAACTGTTCCAGGACAGCAAACATTGTGTGCATACACAATACACTTCCAAACGTGTATCAAGATCAGGAGATTAAACACCCTGGAGTCAGAGACTTCACAAAGAGACAGTGACTCCCCCAGTATTTGTGTCTCCCACTGTTTTAATTCAGCCACATCTTTATATATTTTTATACCTTTCTGCCTCCTGTTAGCATTACTGACAAATTAATGCATTAGGATTTGCATATCACAAAGCAAAAAGAGGACCTGAAGCACTGCGCAAACGACACGTGGTTGATTTTAAATTGCTAGGGCAATGTTAACTACCAGGGAAGTCCTTTTTTTTTTTTTTTCCTCCTCTGCCAAAAGGTGATATTCCTATGAAGTTCCAGGGGAACTCCGAGACCTTGTTCTAGGAGTAATGACTGGGGTGTGGAAACCATCTGAATTTCTGGGCAGGCTGCGTGATCACCCCAGATAAATTACATCAAAGCCTGGGATACGCGGCCAAGTTTCTCGTGAAGTTTTGAGGCTTGCCCAGCCCCGGTGGTTAACATCTCGCTGAGCAAAGCGTGCCTTTGAAGCTGAAGAAACCCAGAAAGCTGCTGGGATGGGATCTCGAGGTGGGCCATCCCTGTTCCCCACCACTCTGCCCTCACCCCATGTACCGAGAACGCAGGGAGCTGAAGTGAACGGTCGGTAGAAAAAATGTGACTTGGCTTGCAGGTGGATGCCGGAGCTGGAGACGCATTCTCACTCGGTTCCAGGAGGTGACAAGGTGCCAGTGCC